GTGCTACATCTGCAGTCCCTCACCTGTGCTACATCTGCAGTCCCTCACCTGTGCTACATCTGCAGTCACTCACCTGTGCTACATCTGCAGTCACTCACCTGTGGTACATCTGCAGTCACTCACCTGTGCTACATCTGCAGTCACTCACCTGTGCTACATCTGCAGTCACTCACCTGTGGTACATCTGCAGTCACTCACCTGTGCTACATCTGCAGTCCCTCACCTGTGCTACATCTGCAGTCACTCACCTGTGCTACATCTGCAGTCACTCACCTGGACTAAAGTACTGAATCTGTCCAGTACCTCTGTTTCTCAGTTCAAACTCTGCTGTTGCCAAGCTCTGTGTCCGCCTTGTTGAGGTTCTTCATCATTAAAGCCATTTCACCTGCAGCAAATAAGTGTGTTTAATGTGTATTTTTATTATAAATCATAGATTTTGATCATCCTTCATGAACTGCTTCAGGTGAGATTCATAATTAAAGTTGAGGAAAGCAGTGGAGACATGTTGGTGGTCTCTAGCGGCGTCACGCGAGGTGACGGGTGTCTTTGCATGTCTAATCTTTTGCAGGGTTAATTAAGTGTTTCTCACTTTTCTCTGATAGCAGCCGCTTTTAAACCAAAATGTAACAGAACTCTGTCCTGACTGCGGTGGAAGCTGCTCGTGCACATGTGGGCCAGCGTTTCAAAAGTTCAAGTGCAGTCACAACTGAAGCAAAAGCAAGCGAGAGGAGAATCTCCAAGTTGGCTTGCACTGGATGGAGATTTGGCTCCTGACCCAAAGTCCTGGGAAAATAAATGCTGCATTCGGCATTTTAGACGAACTGACAAAAAGAAATGGAACCGCGCAGGAGAGAGGGTTTCAGGCATGTTTGGCTGCTTTTTTGCATCTTTTTACACACACACATGCACGCACACACACGCACACACACACACACGCACACACACACACACGCACGCACACACGCACGCACGCACACACACACACACACGTAACTTTTAAAATGTCTTTAAGGAGCTCCGTTTGAGTCGGCTCGGTTGTACTGGTGCTGCTTCCCAGACCTCAGAGGGCTTCTCACCTCGGCAGTGGTCACGGAGCTGCCCTTCCTGCACATTCCTGGGGTGTGGAAGATAATTGCTGCGGTTTCTGAAGGGGAGAGGCCCTGAAGAAACACTTCCATCAGACCTCAGCTGTTTAGATTTTGTCTTTCCTTCAGAGTCCTGCCTCAAACCCAGACTAACCCTAACCCAGTCTACAGTTCGATGTCACCTTCTCACTGACCACGAGTCGGTTTTACTCTGATCCTTGTACACGTGGACGCTGAAATCGTATTACGTGATGCACGTGTGAGAAGCTCAGGACTTCTACTTGGTGTGAGGTATTGTAAAACTGCTTGTGATTATTTGAAAGGAGGCCCAACGTTCTGGTTCCAGATCAGAGGTTTAAGTAGAAGAAACTCAATACAGACGCTTGTTTTATTAGCCTTCTTCTAAATTGATGATTTTCTGTAGGAAAGTTTAAACCCGACCCAGTCTCGGCTCGTAAAAACTGGAAAGGTTTGCCACAGTCAAATGGTGCAGTTACTGCAACACGCAGGTAAACCTAATTAAGCCCTTTTGTGGACGTTTCTATGATAAAAGGTTTCTGATTGTTTTTAGAGTAATTAGATTTCTTTACTCTTTTTCTCGGGTTTCTCATAATGAAAGGAAATTTCATTTCTTTAAACCGTTACAGTATGATTTGACCCTAACTGCTCAGTCCCTGTGGTTTCTGCTCCTTTTTGTTCAAATGTGTGTAAGCGACCGCCGGTAATAAATGATTTCATACAGCAGCGGCTCTGATGATGGAAGGAGAAGAAGGCCATGTTTGTGGGTTTCTGGTGTGGTTCCTAACCGCTACTGGTGTAGTCCTGCATCCTAAACGTGCCCTACATTAAATCAACACATGATATGGACATCCATTTGAATTTATGGTCAAAGTAGAAAGCAGTCTATTTCCTATCTGTGAGGTTTTAATGTGTCGTGATTGGAATTCACCGTGATCTGAAAGTTGCTTCCTTCTGCGCTCGTCTGATCGTCTCGTCTGTCAGCAGCTAACTGGTCGTGTTGTGCAGCGGTGCACTTAAACGCCTTGCTAGGCCACCTAGTTTCTCTCACCTCAGCTTCCAGTAGACATTCCTGAACGGCTCACAGATACCGTCCACAGGTGCAAGCAGGAGATACGTCGGTGAAGAAGAGATGGTTTCACCGCTCAGCTCAGAGTTTAAAAGGGGCTCGGCTGTGTGTGTGTGTGTGTGTGTGTGTGTGTGTGTGTGTGTGTGTGTGTGTGTGTGTGTGTGTGTGTGTGTGTGTGTGTGTGTGTGTAGGTGTGTGTGTGTGTGTGTGTGTGTGTAGGCTTAAGGTGTGTGCTCAAACCTTATGAAGTGTGTTTCTGTGGAAATGCATGGCCAGTTCAAAGTGTCTGAATGGCCTCAGTTTGGAGAAACAAGGATTGATTGTTGCC